CACCTGCGGCGCCGCCGCCGGCAAGGCCGCCGGCAAGCCAACGCGCGGCCCGGCGGCGCCGACGCCGGCGCCCGCCGTGGCGCCGGCCGTCGAGCTTGCCGTTGCGGACTCGGGCGCGGCCCCGGCGGCGGCGGCCGCCGCCTTTGCGGGCGGCCGCAAGGTGCTGCTGCACGGGATCAGCGGCGTTGTGGATGAGGGCGAGGTACTGGGAGTCATGGGCCCCTCTGGCAGCGGCAAGAGCACGCTGCTCTCGATACTCTCCGGCGCCGTTGAGTCCGTCGGCGCCGGCGCGCGCGTCGACGGCGCGGTGTCGCTCGGCGGCGAGCGGCGGCGCGGCGCGCTGCGGAGGGTGACGGCGTTTGTGCCGCAGAAGGATGTGCTGCTGCCGGCGCTGACGGTGGAGGAGTGCGTGCGGTACAGCGCGCTGCTGCGGCTGCCCGGCAGCCTCAGCCCGGGGGAGATCCAGGTGCGCGCGTGCGTGCGTGCGTGTTTGTATGTGTGTGTGTGAACAGGGGGTTGTGTTGCTGGTGGGAAAGCGCGTCACAGGGTGCGCGCGTCAGAACCTCAAGCATCAGCGAGCTCAGTGCACCGGACTCAGAGCCCGCCCTGTAGGCGCCCCCTGATGCCGGCCTGCAAACCGTTGCTCCCTGATCGGGCACCTGCTGCAGACACCTGCTGCAGGCACCAGATGCTGCATCCCCAACCGAACCCACAAGGAGACGCTAGGCCGACGCCAGCATGTTCACCGCGAATGCACCTCCTCAAGCCCATTACATAACGTTACATTACGTTATACCACGCTTTATCAGCAGCCCCCACTCTTCCAGCCCCCACCCCAAACCCCCAAGCCCTGGTCTGCACCAACACGCCCCGCCGCGCCAAACAGGAGCGCATCGACGGCGTGCTGGCTGAGCTCGGCCTCTCCCACGTCGCCACCAGCCTCGTCGGCGGCAGCGCCTCCATCCGCGGCGTCAGCGGCGGCGAGCGCCGCCGCGTCACCATCGCGATGGCGCTCGTCACCCGCCCGCGCCTCGTCATCATGGACGAGCCAACCAGCGGCCTCGACTCGTTCACCGCGTACAACCTCATGCGCACCGCCCAGGAGATTGCCATGCACGACCGCGTCGTCATCATGAGCCTGCACCAGCCGTCGCCCGACATGTTTGACTCCCTGTCCCAGGTGCTGCTGCTGGCCAAGGGGCGGCTCGCGTACCTGGGGACGCCCGCGAGCGTCGGGCCGCACTTTGCGGCGGCGGGCCTGCCAGTGCCCCGGCGGCGGCAGCCAGCGGAGCATATGCTGCACGTCGCGTCGCAGCCGGCGGGGCTAGCGATGCTGCTTGCATACGCGGAGAAGTGCGGCGAGGCGCGCCGGCGCGTGGCCGGGCTGGGGGCGGCCGCCGCGGCGGCCGCCAACGGCGCGGGCGCGGGCGCGGCGGCCAGCATTGCGGCAAACCTCGCGCGTCTGGAGCAGGTCAGCAATAGCAGCACCAGCAGCAGCCCCACGCTCCTGGCAATGTATGGCGGCGCTGCCGCCGCCGCTGCCGCCGCCGCGCCGCCGCCACCGCCGCCGTCATCCGCGCCCGCCGTGGCCGCAGCAGACGCGCCTGACGACGCGTGCGGCGGCGTCTGCGCGCGCGCGGCCGCTGCGGCGCGCGCTGCCGCGCGCGAATGCGCGGTCCTGTACTGGCGCGCCTTCACCAACATGCGCCGCGAGCCGCGGCTGCTCATGCTGCACCTCCTCGTCGCGCTCAGCCTCGGCCTCGTCGTCGGCGCCGTCTTCTTCAAGCTGGAGAACACGCAGGTCGGGGTTCAAAACCGCCTGGGGGCGATGTTTTTTGCCCTGGCGCTGTTTGGGTGGACGAGCGTGTCTGTGGTGGACGGGCTGGTGCTTGAGAGGGAGCTGGTGGAGCGAGAGGTGGCGGGGCACTACTACAGGGGCGGCACCTACCTGCTGTCGAGCCTGGTGCTGGACGGGCTGCTGCTGAGGACGCTGCCCGCGCTGCTCTTCAGCGCCCTGGTGTACCCCATGGTGAGTTTCGCAAACAACAACAATGTGTTATTGCTGTTGGAGAATCTGATGTGGTTGAGATGGGATGGGCTCTGGATTCGCAGACTTGATGGGGTGAGCCTGGAATGGGTTGTGAGGTTTGAGGAATGGCTGGGATTGCGCCCAGATGGTCCCCTGGCCCGTCGCGAGTGCTGAGTATTGCAGCAGATGTTGGGTGTTTCGTCGACACAGCGTCTCGCCTGGTCAATGATTATGAGGGGATGCTGATTGTGTGTTGTTGGTGGAAGCGAAGATGATCAGATGGAGATGATGACTGGGCGGGATGACGAGATCAAACAAGGGCCTTCAAATCTGCATCTACATGCCGGTAACCTGGACCACACAGCCAGTGCCCACCCCCCTCCCACCCGCATCGACTGACACTTCGCGCGACCCTGGGTGCACCATCCTCTCACTTTCTCGTGCTCACCAACCTTCAGGTCGGGCTGCTGCCCGAGGTGTCGCGCATCGTCACGTTCATGTTTGTGCTGGCCACCTACAGCTGCACTGTGGGCGCCCTGACCACCGCGCTCACCGCGCTGTGCCGGACCTCCTCCGCCACCACCCTGGCCATGAACATCATCCTGCTCATGTGAGTGGCAGCAGGCAACCGGTTTGGGTGCCCTCGCTCGCGACTGCAGTGCTGCTGAAAAGCATATTGCATCATGCCCTCTGCATGGCCACCTGATTTGTGCCCTAGTTTTCACAGTCTTTTAGTGTTGCACACAGCGCTTCCAACACCAGGCCCTGAGGCGGCCCTGGTCCCGCCCGCCGCCTTGCTGATCGCCCTCACTACCATGGTTGCTGCCGCTGGGCCTCCTTTGCCTTCTGAGCACCCAAGCATGCCCCCCTCCGACGTGACCAGACGCCCACATGCAACCCCCTCCCCCAAACACGCACACGCACATGCACACACACACACACACACGCACACGCACACACACACACACACATACACACGCACAAACACACACAAAGTGCACAAAGCTGATCAGCACAATTCGAATGCCCCCATCCGTCGCGCAGGTGGGTCCTCGTCGGCGGCTACCTGGTCAACCCCATGTCTATCCCCCCGTGGCTGCGCTGGATCCGCAACCTTAGCCCCATGAGCTTCGCCTTTGAGGTGCTGGCAGCCAACGAGATGGCCGACCAGATGTACAGCCTCAAGGTGGGTCGTGTTGTTTACCTCCACGGGCCTGTTTCATTCTGTGTCAGCCTCCAGGGCTGTTTGATCTGTGTCAGGAACTCCGGTTGCCTTTCCGTGTTGGCCGCCTGGTATCTGGGGTTTGGGTCACCTGGGTGCGGATGGCCGGAGCGCATGGCCTTCATCGCGTGTTGCGCTCTCGGCTGCCTGAAAAGGCCTGCAAAGGCCTGCTCTCAGGCATGAACCCCTCCTCACTCGCCGCCCGCCCTCGCGGCGCCACAGGTCTCCGGCTTTGCCCAGCTGGAGGGGATCAAGGGCGACGTGTTCCTCCGCACCCTCGGCCTCGTGCCGTCACGCGCGTTCGAGTCTGCCCTTGGCCTCGCGGGCTTCTACCTCGGGTCTGTCGTGCTGGCGTTCTCCGCCACGAGCTTCACGCTGTGGCGCCACGGCGGTGGCTCGACGAGGCGCGCCCTGCAGCGCCTGGCGGCTGCGCTGCTCTGCAGGGGCGGGCGCGGCACCGCTGCGCAGTGACGGGGTTGTCTCGAGGGATTTGGCGCGCACCGCGCGCGCGGCCGGGCGGCGCCATGTGCGCTCTCAGACGCTCACTTGATTTAATTTTGGCGCCAGCCCGCTTTTGGTGCAAGGGCTCAGGCAGCGTTCAGAAAGTGGATGGCCGACCAAGACTATAGGATTGGTGTGGCTGACTCGAAGCCACAGGGACCCATCTTGCTGTATTGGCAGCCACTGACGCCCTTGACTGCTCTGGACATCGAACCTCCCGCAAATGACAAATACAACAGGCCAGAAAATCACAGGGCGCAGCTCTCCCCTAATGCCTGAAACTGGCATGCAGCTTGTCTGTCTGTTTGGCACACCCCCTGCTTTGTTGCCGCCTTTGCCGCCCGCGCAGCAGTCGGCCGTTCCACTTCCGTTCCAGTGGCTCGAGCCTGCGCAAGCATCCGCGGAGTGATGGAGAATTGCTCTTCCTGGCTGAATATTGTGCCTTTCCGCCTGGTGTAAATCTACACATGTATCGGGGCAAGGTGGGCGCAACAGGGGCAATGAGTCACTGCAACTCCATCCAATTCACTAGGCTCATCATAAGCCTTGCGCTTTGACAGGGTGCGACGACAGTCTCCTGGACGTAGACACACCCAGAAAAGAGGCCAATTGGGGACTTGGTACACTGCGCCCCGCCAGGGCGCAGCAGTTCTTTGACGCAATGCCAGCTGATGCAGGAACCCCACCAGATAGCCCCTTCACGTTTAAGAAAGGCTTCCTGCGGTCATTCAAGCTCAATCACCATTGTGAATGGATGACTGACAATTGATTGCTGCTCATGTGTACTGCACAGGCGCCCAACCAGTGCTCATCGGCCGACCATCCCACCCGGGACTCCACAAGCCGTTGCAGGTGTTCGTTGCACTGATAGGATAAAAGGCAGACGCGGCAGGGGCCAGAGGCGCACCCAAATGGCAGCCGTGCAAAGGCAAGTGCGGCGCCTGGGAAGGGAATGCATACCGTTACATTTGTCAAACGCATCAGGCGGCGGGAGATATGTGCAGCGCGAATGACCTCTGGCCCTGTCCTGCTCCCAGTGTTCACAATGCTACTTGCACAGATTGCATCATGCGGAGTCATGATCAGAAGCATATCAGAGCATAATATGGTTGCGCGGCATTTGCCAGGTATGCACAAGGCACTGAAGCTGCTGCCTATCATCCACTTGACAAATCTGCAGTTGCCTGCAGCTGCTGCGTGTCTGCAACATCACATGGATGTTGACTGAGCAGACAACGCACCACCGTTGAGGGGTGCATCAAGTTATGCCTCTAGCGAGGCATCGCGGCAACGGCCGCTTGCCTTAGGCGGTGAGGCATGCCAAGAAGATGCCGGGATGTGTGTGTCCAATATCGTTGGGCAGTTCAGGCCTTAGGACAATTTTGCATGTGCGGCGTCCCTTCGCCGCGAGTAGCAAAGCAGGACGACCTGCTGCGACGGAGGATGGACCGCGCGTGGCTCCGACTTTTGTCCACGTCTGCAGCTGCCCAGACAGTCCCGCCAACCCCGTCAGCGGCTATGCCGCCGCCGCCTGATCGACTTGTGCCGCCGTGCGTTCCAGTATCTGGACCGTCGAGTTATGGTTGCCAGCAAGGGTGGGGATGCATGAGCTGGCGCGGATGCAAACGGCTGCGTGAGCCGCAAGGCAGCAGCACTGCAAGCGGGCGCGCAGGACAGCGAGCGCAAGGGCAAGCAGACAGCAACCCAGCCGGGCACAGGCACTGCGCATCCACTCACTTGTTTGAAAGGTTTTCGGTCAGTGTGGTCAGAACTTTGCTGACCGCATCGTCGCAGGCACCGCTGTCCTCCTGGGTTTCGATGTTGATAGATGCAACAACAGCCACCAGCGTTGACCCCTTCACGCCACCCGCAAAGCCGCCGAAGGGGCCACTGCCCATGTATCCAATCATCTGAGTCTGCAGGGTAGGGTAGAATAAGGGCGCGGGCCCTGCACGGATTACTCGTGAACATGAGTGGGGTCAGCCATACCTCACTGGCACTTGCGTGGCTGTGGCGCCCTGCTTGAGTTGAGCTGGAAGTGAGTAACCAGCATATTGAGCCTGCAATGTTGGCTGTCGATGCCTGCATCTAGGCCTCCGACAACACCGAGGTTCAATCTGTCAAGGGTGCACAAAGCTAGCCAGTAAGCAGCTTTGGGGATCACTTGGCTTCCCTCCCTCCCCACCTGCCCGCCCGCCCGCTGCCGGCTCCCCCAACCTGAAAGCCGCCGAAAAGGCCGTCGTGGCTCATATAGGGGGTGCCGTCTGTGCCGGTCCCGTTGGCCTGCGTATGGTAGGGTGCGGCTTGCCAGGCGTCACCACGCCGCAGGTCGAAATAGGGCATCAACGCGCGGGGGGGTGCACGTGAGAGATTTCACGGCCGACCAGCCGTTCCCTAGTGCTGCTGGGTGCATGTTGCTGCAGTGCAAATCGGCGTGTTGCTGCAGTGCAAATTGGCGTGTTGCTGCGGTGCACATGGGCGTTGGCAACACGCCGCGTGACACAGCTCCTGCTCTAGCGTGCATCCGCGAGCAGGTGAACTGGCGCACCCAGCCTTTGGCATAATCCCCGTCGTCGGCTGCGCCAGGCGCAGTCCAAGGACGGTGCAGCTCCTTGAACGCTGCGTGGCTGCGCTCAGGGCGGCGGCGGCAGGTACGAGGCGGGCACGGCAAGCGCGTTTTTAGGCTGCATGTGCTGGTCGCATCGGGGACAGCGCACGTACGAACCTCACTCATAAAATGCGAGAGGAGACGGCCCAGGCAAGAAACCTCGCAAACCCTTTGACCTGATGGGACTGTCAGCAGGGAGCTTGTCCAGTAGGCCTGCGCTTTGTGAAGCGGGGCAGCAAGAGGGCAAAATTCACTTGCAACATTTGCGGTAATGCAAGATGGTCCAATTGGCAGAATGTTGGCACCTGGCTGCTGGCAAGGGCTGTCCAGGCTTCAGCCATGTCATGCAACAAATGGACGCCGCTGCAAGCCGCTCAGCAGCCGCGTTCCACGCATGGCGCGAACCCCGCACGATCCCACACGGCCCGGTTATGCCCCCCTTTCCCCTCCTCGGCGGGCCCGCACCCTGCATGTGCCATGCGACCCAGCGTGCGAGGGAGGACACAGACATATAGATCGCCCCGCTGCCAAACTCCGCCGGCGCCGCCACCGTCCAGTCATACTCCTGCAGGACGGGAATATGGAGGGTCAGTGCCAGGCGTGACCAGCATTGGCAACACAACAAGCGGTCAACGGCTGTGGCGGTGGTATCGTCGCAGAAGCGCAACTCCCCGTCGCACACCCTGTCACAATCTGGCTCGCCCCCCTCGACCATGGCGCGCACCAGCGCTGCAATCTTGCCGCTCGCCCCGGTGCACTCGTGGCCGAAGGGCGTTGCAGGCGGTGTAGTTGGTAGGCTGAAGCCCCCTTTTGCCTTTGCGACCCAGCCCATGCCACTCGGATACCCGAGCCCTGCATTGCACACATTGCATGGCACAACACTGCAGGGCCGCGTATGGGGATGCTGGTGCAATCACTATGGCCGGGGCCAGGCCACACATCTGCCCGTGGGGCGATTGCGTCCCCCCTGCCAGCCCCCCCTGTCTTGCAGCTGTCGCATGCTCATCATCGCTGCTGCCCACGCACCTGCCTCTGTGAAATCAAGGGGGTTGAATATGTACTGCTTCAGCATCCCCTCGTAAGTTGCGGTCTCTCCCGCCGCAACCTCGGCAAGCCATGCCGCAACCTCGTACCCAGCGTTGCTGTATGCATATTTGCCGATCGCCTGCCTTGGCGTGCGCTTGAGCTGCCAGACTGACAGCGCTTCGCGCTGCTGACGGGGGGTGAGCTTCTGGGCGGCAGGTGTGCCGGGTGTGATTTTGTTTTTGAGGGATTTGGGGAGCTTTGAGTCGTAGTCATCTTCGTCAAAGCCTGGAGGAAGGACGGTGGAACGCACGTGGCCAATTATTCGGCGCGGTTTGAATATATAAATCGGCCAGGTGAAGCAGGGGGTTGAAAAGGGAGGGAGTGTCGTGGCACAATAAGAGGAGGGGGGGTGGGGCGCCCTCAGCGCGGGTCCCGTCTTGTGCGCACAGCCTGGGGTTTGATGTGAACGGTGCGCCTGAAGCTGAAGCCGAACAGAAGCTGGCAGCCGCATAGGTGTGCAGTCGCTCACTCTTACCAGCGCGGTGCGAGAGCAGGTGCGAGACAGTGGCTGCGAGGACCTTCTTGTTCATGCCTGATGTTGAGACCTTGGCTTTCTTCAAGATACCGCCGATGGTGTCCGACCATCCGATCTTACCCTGTGTGGCCTGGGGCGGGCATGACGGGCGGGCATGCGTTTGGGCATGCACATTGAGCAGCAGCTTGCTTCCCAGGGGCGGCGTGCTTCAGCAAGCACCAGGTGGCGCTCTCAATTGAATCAGCACTCATGCCCCACCGAACCCTGAGTTGCCAGACGCAATGTCGGCATGCACGCCTTTTGCACATTCGATCACACCTCTACTCACACACACGCGCGCACGCACACACACACACACACACACACACACACACACACACACACACTCCCACACAGCGCGCGCCCGCACAAACACGCCCGCATGCTGCACGCATACATGAAAATTCTCTCACCAGGACGCCAAACAGCGATGCCGTGAAGGACTTGCCGCAGCTAGCAACCATAAAAACATCGCTCGCTGTGACCTTGTCAGCGTATCCCGTGCGCCTGACGCCCGCGGCCCCTTGGGCGAGCAGCGCAGCGGCGCCCGTCCGTGCGTCGACGCCCCAAACGGCCGCCGCGGCGCCCTGGCCTGGGAGGCTGAGTGCGGATGCAAGTGCAGGGGAGATATCCTCGGCTGCCCAAGTGACACCCGCAAGCAGCAGGATGACCAGGGCACCAGACACGCCAGCCAACGGCGCCAGCACTGCACCCATCTGCGCTTGGCCTCGGCAGTGGAGTGCTTGGGCGTGCTCGATGCAG